TCGGTCTCAAAACTTCCAAAATCCGCCACCAGAGGCGCTGGCGTCGCGCGCCATTGACAGGTTGTTGGACGGAATCTGTATTCATGAGTTGGGGATTCCGCCGCTAGATGGCGCTGTCAAACCAAACGGAATCTGTGTGTCATTGGACACCTGTCCTGCGTCATTGGGCATCTCACGCATAGATGGCGTTACAGCTCATCTGTCATACGTCATTGGACACCTGTCATTGATGGGTTGAGCATCTCGCGCATAAATGGCGTAGATTTGTTTGGCGGTGTACAAACCTAACGGAATCTATGCGTCATTGGACAGCTGCCATTGATGGGTTGGGCATCTCGCGCATAGATGGCGCCGATGTCGCACCTGTCTGGTGTTGGCGTGGATTACGGGGGGCAACGTGTATACAGGGGTGCATCGAAAAATAGCGGATCGATGGACCGACGGTATATCGTTAAATCGTATATAGCAAGGCGTGACCTAAATAGCGTGGTGGGCTCCTCTGGTCGGTCGGTCGGTCGGTCAGAATGTCTCATAACCTGTATACGATGTACTGTTATTATTATACAGGATGATACCGTTCAAATGAAATAGTATAGACATTCTGACAATTATTTCGCAAACCAGAGGTATTTTCAATAAAACTACAATAATACGTTTAATATTTTATTGAAAATAGAAAAAAACTACATAGGTAATATGATATTTGAAAACCAGTGGCGTAGACGTTCAACATTTCTCTGGGTACAGGAAAATTGTCCGTTGGTGTGGCATGGATTGGAATCAGCAACAAAGTTTCCAGTAGCACACGGTGTACCATCATACTTGCAAACATCAATAATGTTGGGAAAACACCAAAAATGTGACATTTCTTGAGTAAAAAGTTTGCTTTCTGTTCTCCACGAACGTAGACATAGTCAGCCGCATATATCACCTTATTTTTAATTATTTCATTTAACTTGGAATATTTAACGTCGCCGGAAGAATATTTAAGCCCATGGAAATTCTTCTCCAAGTAAGCGACAGTTTTCTTGTCTTTAGTATTTAATGTAGAAAAAGGTTGCGGAGGTGTAAAGATGTAATGACTTTTCTTGAAACCAATTTCGATACATAGTTCTTTAGGTACGAATAATCCGTCAACTGTAAAGCCTTGAATGTCAACAAACGCGATCCTCATGATGTCTGATGCGGAACTGAGAGTCCTTCGTTGCTTACGAGATGGTTTTAATAACTTCGGTGAGGGGGAAGTACTCGATTAAGCAGTCATGTATAATGATGCAGTAGGCCTTGGTGTTGGTTGGAAAGCCAGTATCGGCTTCGATATCCAATCTAACATCAACAGTTGATGATTTCATGGTTTCCTCTTGTTTGGAACAGTCAATAACAAACAAAGCGCGATTTTTAAAAGCGGTATAATCTAAAAGACATCTCTTCAGAGGAGAAGAAGAAGTTGTATAGCTGGTTTGAAAGTCGCTATAGTTGAAATGAGCTTCAGTAAAGTGATTGTTTGCAAAGTCCAATTGCATACGTTCGTTGGGATAGTATTCACCATTTAAAGATACTCGAATACTAGCAGCATTCACGTGATCAAACAGGGTAGGGTCTGAGGTTGCGACGTCACGTTTACCGGTTTGGAAACATACTATAATGAAACGTGGTCTTTCGATTGCGGTGCTAGTTTTAACTGACCATATTTCTCTTCTCGCATCTGCGGTAATTGCAGGCAGTTCATTCAGATCCCATTTTCTAAACGGTATAAGTATCGGCTTATCAGTTTGAATAGCTTTCAAAAGTTGTTCTTTCACATCATCACTCGGGTAAATATGTTTGATTTTCAGTTCCATGCTTTCAATAGTTATTTTCGCTGTCGTCGTCGT